TTTTGACCAAGAGGTTTGGACATTTGTGCTTGTTAGATTATTTCTATGTTCAAAGAAAACGTTTTGTCAGTAATTTCAAGACTTTTGGATTTATTTGATTTCTCTTGGTGGAATGTTATCCTGCAGCAGTGTCTGACCAGCATGAGAACTTGTTGCAAAAATTTCACCTTTGACGTATATGTAAATCCTCTCCATCATCGTGTCTCTCTTTTATGACACTCTTGTCATAGATTTAACATGTCAAATGTGTTGATGAATCACAAGGTGCTTGTCTCATACATTTCTCAGGGTCTGAATTTTTTTGTTTGTTTGTTTGTTTGTTTTAGGAGCTTAGACAATTTTGTGACACATTGTGATCGCAACTAAAAGAGATCCAATATTGCCATTGCCTAGCTATTTTTAATGTTTTTTTTTTTAATGTTCCTGGGTAAATGCTCAAACCATGGTTGGCCAAGACTTTTCTTCGCCCCTTAAAAAAAAACGGCAACTGACGTCGACCACGCCCCTCATTAGAATTCCCGTTGACGACATTTCACGTCAACGGCGCGCAAAGAGTTCAAAGAATGGGACAGAGTGAAAGCCGTTCCACAGCTGTGTGTGAGACCAGGCTGCTCACCTGCATGAGCATCTGTCATTGTTGTTGTAGCTGTGTATGGTTCTTTTTACACTTTGACGCTAAGAATGGAGCAGAGTGAGAGGTTGTTCCACAGCGGTGTGTGACCAACATGAGCAGGTGGCGTCAACTTGTCCTCTAATGAGTCCCTTGACTGTTTCACAAAAGAATCATCGATAAGTTTGACAATAAGTCTTGTTTCTTACTTCGTGCTGATTCGTGCACTCAAAAATCATGTCGATTTCCAGATATTTCCAGAAATTCCTCAGGGATCAATATGGCATCCAAACGCCAATTTCCGAACTTCCGAAGTTTATATATGTGCGCGCCAAGCCAAAGAAGTGTCGTCTGAGGAAGACCTCTTTTTTTTTTTTTCAGCGTTGCTGCTCATTTGAGCGCCGGCTACCATCATACATGTGTTTCTTCTGTAAGTATGCCGGGAGAGAGAGCAGCCGGTGTCAAGACGCAGCTTGCCAAGTTTCCATTTCAAAATCCGTAGCTGTCAGACACGTTACAGCAAGGCAAACAGGCATTGTAAAAAGGAAACCGTTTGACCCAGTCCGAAAGCCGATCCCCGATGCCTCGTCCGCTTTCGATTGGACCGCTCGCGTTCTCAGGCATGCGGCGCACACGCAACCCTTAAGACAATATCGCGTAGCACATGGAAGCCATTAAGTCCGTTGGAATGAAAGTGAGGACTCTGGGGGAAACACTTCACTTGGTTATTTGACTTAATAAAACAAATGTCTTGTTCAAGAACCCTGGCGACTTTCGCCCGAGCGCTGATAGTCTCGTCTGAAGGGCGGTAATGACATCGCAAGTGGATCGGTGGGTTGCTTTCGCTTGGTATTTAGCAATAATGTGGTCAAGTCTCTGGCCTGCCTGCTTGTTTGCTGGTGTGGCGCTTCGCTTAACTTGACGTACGCGTCTATGGAGAGCATGAGGATCGTGTTGTGAATGGTGGTACAGGTGGAAGCTCGGGGCCACAGCAACAGTTTGGACACGTCAGTGTTCGAAGAAAGGCAAGTATACTGAAGGCGTTTCCTGACCAGAGTTCATTAGGAGACCGCTTGTCAAGCTTACTGATCGGAATGGCTCATCATTGATTCCACAGGCGGAACTGTCATCCAATTGCCAGCTTCCAACATTAGTTGACACTTTCAGAATTTGACAAAATAATTTGGGTGAGAGTCAACCCAAGAAGTTGATCTTGCGTATAATGTGAGGCTCACCTCTGACAAATCTGTTGTCGTCATTGCACTACTTTGTTGTTTTTCCTTGGTTGTATTTTCTCTCTCTAGCTCTCTCTCTCTCTCCACAGTATCTTCCTATCGGGCCTCAAGATGTGTTTTTCGTTTATGACAGAATTCCGTTCCTACGACGGCGACGTAACTTGAAGTCGGAATGTACCGAAGTCTATCACTACCCCACGTTAACAAAGTAATCAAGTCACAGTTACAGTGACTATTTGTCCAGAAATATAAAAAGTATGATGTGTCTTCTTGAACAGGCGTTCTTCTGCTACCGTGTAAACTGGATGGTTAAATCCGTTAGCTCAAAACTCCACAAAGGGAAATTGTTTAGAAATAGAAAGATACTGTACCGGAATGTATTGTTTGTCACCACAGATGTTGCGCTGTAACCATGCAGCTATGATCAGGTAGACTTTGGTCTGCATTCGTTGTCATTGATCAATCAGCAAGGTTAAAGACACCATAAGACTTACTGTAGTGTGCCATTTGATTCAATGCAGCGTAAATGAAGCGTAAAACCTCCCGCGGTGGCACTTAGTCCCAACACGTGTGCCTTTGTGACTCTCTGCAAATCCATTTATTCTTTGGTTTCACTCGAAGGGTGCAAAGGTTGCCAGAGATTAGACATAATGAGCGGCTTGGCTGCCAATGCTGTCAGTCGCCGTGACCGAAATGGTCACAGGCCGACTGTCGTGTCCCCTCGCGTGCGTGTTTACGCAAGCGGCGCTGCGCTCCCGCGACCTCAGAACGCTGGTCTTCGGGGGCCTGCCAGCTCTGCGGTGGGGCCCCGCTTGTTTGTTTTTGTATACGCTTCCCTTAAATAAACTGAGGAGAGGAGTGCGAGTGCGCCACATGTTCTGTGTGCAGCTGCAGCGCGAAAGATCCCGAGTACCGTGAATTCTCTGTATTTGTACGGGGATTCTATAATGAGAGTGTAAATCCTGTGGTATGGCCCTGTTTAAATCTGTACAACACAGCTGTGAATGACCCCCCCCCACCCCCATCATATCATTGCATATTAACTTGTGCTCACCATCGCATTGCTCGCTTGTTGTTGTTTTGAAAGCCTGTCCATCATTGCTCAATTACTTTTCTTCTTGGTAGGGTCCAGAAGTATTTGGACGACAACAGAGCCGTTGTTTATATTTAATGCAGAGCGCTTTCCTTGTTTCCTTTCCCGCATCCCACACCATTCATTGGCTTTTAAAAAAATCTTTAATAAAATCCAAGACATAGTAGATAGAATATGAATTGATTTTTAGATGATTCAACATAAAGGAGGTCACACTGGCCAATGAACAATGTAACAAACAAACACAAGTAGGGGGTCAAATGAGATTCAAATTTTAATGTCTCCCTCATATAGAAGCCCATGTATCACTCCTCATGAAATAAACTGGTATTAAGGGCAGTTAACTCAATGCGTAGACACGATTGCTCTACCGAACCCACATGCACCCCTTTGCTCACCAAAACAGCAGTACTGAACATCAGCAATCACTCAGGGGAATTAAAGTGAGTTCCCCTCACAGCATTCAAAATGATCCCACGTTACATGTGTCTCCAGCGAGGAAGAATTTTCCTGGGGACTCTGAAATATCCGTAATGTTGTGTGCATCTTCAAAAATCCTTTGGTGCTTCATCCACTTTAGACAGCTCAAACTGACTCCTTTGTAATTTGCTATTGTTTATACACGGACTTGAAATACAGTGGTACCTCTACTTCCGAAATTTCTTCACAAGAAAATGTTATAAGTAGAGACGCATTTTCCATGTAATTGCCCTAATTGGTTCCAAGCCTCCCAAAATTCAGACATAAATGTTTCCTACTGCATAAACATGCATCAAAATATGTAACAAATACATGTTACAAATTAGATTATTGCATAATAAATGAGAGTTGTGCATAATGTAAAAAACAAAGAATAGAGTGAAGAATAAAAATGATGGTCATTTAACTTTTAACTGCATCTTCATTGTTTTTTGACCTCTTTAGTTCATGTTCTCTCTCAGAAGTGGTTTTTGCCTGGCATTTTGTAAAGAACTGATCCAAGTATGTTTGCTTTTGTCGGCTTTTAACAATCCTTCGAAAATGTCCAATGCAAACATTAGCATAGAACACTTTTTATGGGTGACTAACATTTACGTAAAACTATCGGAACACCTCATGGCCCAAGGGGCGAATGCAGAGGACGCTGCATGGACACATATCTATGCATCTACACACATAGACACATACGATAGAAGTCCCTCTTAGCTGATGGGGTGCCAGGATGATCGGTAATAGCCAATGGCAGAGCAGCTATAAGTTGCATTCAGGAAACTCGGAGCTGCGATCAGCAGACCACACTGTATTTTTACCTTTTGTATCTTGAAACTTTTTTCGTAACAAGAGGAAATATTTTCCTGTTGAGACGTTTTGTAACTTGAAAATTTCATATGAGGAGACGTTCATAAGTAGAAGTACCACTGTAGATTAATCATGAGCCCATCTCAACTTAGATGCTAACCCAAACAGCAGCTGTCACTATAAAATAAATTCAAGTGTGTAGTCTATCTGCATGATGTAAATGAGTGTATTAAAAATGACTTGAAGACGAGACTAATGTCCATATTTGTTCTTGTTCCGGGGAGTTCTACAACTACTTTGTTCCGCCTAGTCTGCCTTACATTCACCAACCCTCTCTTCCATCTGCAGTTAACTCAATAAACAACCTCGACAACTCCTAGCGCAAGAGATTAATTAAACACGAGCTTCGCATCAGCCCCTTCTATTCCAGATAATCTGCCTAGCAACAAGTGCCCGGGAATATGTGAAGCGCGTCCAGAAAAAAAAAGGAAACCAAGCAATTCTGCTGATGGACATTGCAGCATCTGCTGGATAGTTCTCCTTTTATTTCTGTTATAAACTTTTATATTGAGCCTCCAGTGATTTGCGTTGTCTGAGCGATTTATAACTGGAACTTGGAAGGGAACTTGGAATTTTAAAAGGCATCAGAGAGCATGAGAGCGTTCTGAAGTGTTCCTGGTATGTACGCGTACCTAACCGATTGATACCTCACCAGTTTTCTTCAGACAAAAACAGCATTGACAGGTTACATTCCTGCTCACTTGCCTATTTTTGTGTGTTTTAGGCTGACAGGTAATGAGCCGCTGTCTATCCTGCCATTGAACTCTCTACCGGAGGAGAGCGTGGGCCGGGCCCACTACAAGCTGTGCGACCGGCTCAAACTGGAAAAGAAGCAACGCAGGATGTGCAGACGTGACCCAGGCGTGGCTGAGACCTTGCGAGAGGCCATCACCATGAGCGCCCAAGAATGCCAGTATCAGTTCCGCTTCGAGAGGTGGAATTGCACCTTAGAGGGGCGTCACAGAGCCAACATGCTCAAGAGAGGTATGGGACAGAATCTTTCAATCCATGCATTTTCTATAGCGTTTGTCCTCATGAGGGTCACGGATGACCTGCAGGCTCATCCCAGGTGACTTTTGGGCGGGAGGCAGGGTATACTCTGGACTGGTCACCAGCCAATCGGAGGGCACATTGAGACAGACGCTGACATTCACACGGACGGACAACGCAGAATCTTCAATGAACCTAACATGGATGTTTTTCAATTGTGGGTGGAAGCCGGAGCACAGAGAAAAACACATGCAAGCACAGGGAGAACATGCAAACATAAAGGAGGGGCGGAGCCAAGATTCAAACTCAGAACCTCTGAACTGTGAGGCAGATATGCGATCCAGTGGTCCACTATGTAGCCCAGGATAGATTTAAATAAGGCTGAATTTAAGAGTGTTTTTTGGAAATGTTACGCAACAACCAAATATGTGATTTGCGCTCTCTTGAGTGTATCAAAATCGGCAAAGGATTGGGTTAGAGAAATTTTGAACAATATTTATCTTGAAAATGTGCATATTTTTAGATGTGATTGATTTTATTTGATTGATTGAACATTTTTATTGAACATACAATAACAGATTGACAAAAGGCAAGCAAAAGTTATAAAAGGAAAAAATAAAAAAAGTAAGTAAAACAAACATCACATTTTCGGTTTGTATATATATACACACACACACAGACACACACACACACACACACACACACACATATATATATATACACACACACACATACACACTTATAGATATAATTATCCTATTTATATCAATTGTCTCATATTCATTATAAATACTGCATTTCTTGAATACATTTTAATGAGTTGATCAAAAATGTGAAATGTGAAAATATATTTGCGTCAAAATACTGTTTTTTTCTCAAACAGTAGCAGTCCAGCTTATACATGCCATACTCTTGTGCATCAAAAAAAGTGCCTCAATCAAAATGCCTTGCTTCTCCCATGAGGATTAAAAACACGTAGTAAGATGACCATTTCTTTTTTTTTCTCTATTAAAATTTTACTGCCAAGCCAATTTAAACATGGTTGCTAGCCAAAACAGCAGCACCTATTAAGACATGGGAACAGTCTGTCATTAAATTAAACCACCACATTTCCTGCGTAGAGTTGTGCCGCAACAATTGAAATGACTTGTGTTAAATTAGCAGTTATGTTGCAAGGCAAATTTGAATTAAAAACAACTTTTTTTCAAAGATCCAATTGTTATTCTCTTCGATTGATTTAGCATATTTTCCATGTTAGTTATTGAATAGTGTGATTCGCAATAACCATGGGAATTTTTTTTTGTTGAACAAAAGAAACTGGGGGCTTGCATTCATAAAAAAAAAAAAAAAAAAGTTTAAAATTCTTCAGACAATTGCTTTCCCCAGGATTCAAGGAGACCGCCTTCCTGTATGCCATTTCTTCGGCGGGTTTGACGCACGCCATGGCCAAAGCGTGCAGCGCGGGCCGCATGGAACGCTGCACGTGTGACGAGGCGCCCGACCTGGAGAACCGCAAGGCATGGCAGTGGGGAGGCTGCGGCGACAACCTGAAATACGCCAACAAGTTTGTCAAAGATTTCCTGGGCAAGCGCTCCAACAAAGACTTACGCGCACACGTGGACATGCACAACACCAACGTGGGCCTGAAGGTGAGTGTTTGTATTGACATTTGATGACCAAAGTGGGTTGTGGAGTGCAAAATATCCCAACATTGCTGTAATCGTTTGGACCCATCTCGATCTAATCAGTCTTGTTTGAGCATTCTAAATGCAGACACACCCCTATGAGGGTCAACAGTTTCCCGCTCGGCGACTGTGATTTATTCGTTGATATGATTAAAGAAAAAAAAATCATTAAAAGCGAAATCATTATTGTACTCCGACGTGGCTGGGGTGTTTTTAAATCATCATCATAAAACAGGCAGAATATTTTACAGTAAAACTCTGTACTTGTATTATACAGGGTGTTCCAAAAGTCTTGGGCACATTTTGACATTGAATATCTCGGAAACTATTAAGGATATAAAAACTCATCTGGTAAAATCAGAAAGCTTGTAATCTCAATTTTTACATGGAATGTTCAAAGATGTTCAATGTGAGCACCATTGGTCACGCGACACACATCAAGCCGAGTCAAATTCTTGCAGCATTCATATTGTAAAATGACAAGAAAGTTATTGCATCACACCCTCTTGAAATGAGCCATGCTAGAATTTCCCGAATGGTGATCCCACTGAATCCAAGCGAATTGTTTCAGTTTGCAACGAACCGACCTTGAGGCGCATCGCACCCTATGTATCGAGATACATAGGGTGGTGTGAGATACATTGGAATTGTCTCTTGTGGGAGGGATGCACAGCCCTACTATCTCCGTGTATCTTCCAGATGACTGGTCGACCGGCGTTCGTGACTTTAGAGTCCGATTCAAACCTCTGGCTGAGAAGCTATCGTAACAATCTTCATTTTCACTCAGTGCTCCTTGTCAAACAGCGCAAACAAATGTGCCACATCAGTCCCAGATCCACATTCAAAGTCCTTGTCCGGCATAGGGTCCACTCAAAAGTATAAAAGTCACCAATGGTTACTGTATAAACGTGTGCTCAGCAAGGTCGTAGGTCAGATTGAATCCAGCTGCATCTAACTGAGCAAGGGGTGGTGCACACTCCGGACAGGTCAACAAAAAAATCAAAAACATTCACACCAATGGAAAACTTTGAAGTCTTGAATGAAGCCAACGAGCATGTTTTTGAAGCAACCTGAGCCAAAAGGCAAACCAATGACAATCTGACAAATATCAAAGTCGTTTTGGCACCCGAACCGTAACTACCGGTACTCCGATTCAAAACATTTCCATCGTAAATGTGCTCACTCTTTCAAAGTGCTCGTTTGTCAGTGTTTTTCTTATCAGATGTACCGTGTACAAATACGCTGCTGAGATGGAAAAAAAAGTTGTCAGTTTGGATTGTAAAATACAAGGACAGTTGGACTCAACGAAGCCAAAGCAAACTAAGTGAGTGGAATGTGTTACTTTCTGCAAATTAGCCTGAAAAAGAGCTAGACTGTGCCGCAAAACAGGTGGCCCAGACGTCCCATTTGAGGCCTTCCTTTGTAGCTCACCTCTCCAAATGTTATCCCAGGGGGAGATTCGATCTGCGATTAAACATTTACAACCATTTTTTTTTTTTTTTTTGCCAAGTTTTAGGATCAATTCGCAAGAGGACTGTCGTGGAATGTGCGGGCCCCCCCCTCCCCAAAAAGCTGACCTATCGCATTTTCTCGACCTGTTGCCGTGATAAATGTCCACTTCCTGATCTCTTTCGCAGTCACAGAGCAGAAAGTGAGGTGCGATCCAAAATCCCCTGGTCTGAGACAATGTGTTATTGTCATTGATTCGCAGACGCTGATTGCTTTTGACGGCTTGCGGTCTGACTTTTTTGGCCGGGGCGCGAGGATGGGAAGGCTGCACTTTTTTTGTTTAGTTTGTGACCATTTCGCTTCTATAGAAGAGAACGTTTTTTTGTCACGGTGATGGACTGATTACAACGTTCAAGGTCGGCTCGTACCTTGGCTTTAAAAGTGTTTGTCATCTTAATAATAGGCACTGACTTTGATTAAAATACCACGTGTATGAACCCAAAGACTTGTACCAAAAAAGAGGCACTTTCATCTTCCTAAACCACACCCGTTGACCCACTCATGACAGACTCCTTTTAATTTTCTTTAGTGCTTATCCTGTTCAGTAACCTGGAACCAATCACAGCTGAGCTGAGGGTGAGAGGGCCAGGCAGTCTTATTTAAATCAAATCAAACTCATAATACCCAAACTACATGGTTTTACAACCCTTACGTCTTGTTCCGCTCTAATCAGCCTGTTTTAAAGGCCAACCCTGTCTGATGCAAGTTAGTGACTATACCCGTGCCCATATACTGCTGGGCCTAATGGCGAGCATGGCTTTCATTACTGTGATGACCACGGGCAGAACCCAGAAGTGTGGGCAACAAGCAAGTGTCCGTGAAGACAATAAAAGCACTTTCAACCAAATTGTAAAACGATCGTGATAAAGCACAGATTTCTGTAATACAACGAGGATTTCTTTGGCAGACAGATACATTGCGCAAGATATAACTGCATTATTTCTGGTGTGCAGGTCATCAAGGCTGGTGTGGAGACTACCTGCAAGTGCCACGGCGTCTCCGGCTCCTGCACCATCCGGACCTGTTGGAGACAGCTGAAGCCCTTCCACGAGGTCGGCAAGCAGCTCAAGCAACGCTACGAGACCTCGGTTAAGGTGGGCAGCTCCACCAACGAGGCTACGGGGGAGGGCGACATCTCCCCCTCGGGCCGGAGCCAACCGCAGCTGCAGCAGCAGGCGCCTCCGCTCCTGCAGCTCAACGAGCAGATCCCCCGCACCATGAACCTGCTGCACATCGAGGACTCGCCCAGCTTCTGCAGGCCCAGCAAGTACTCGTCGGGAACGGCCGCCCGCAAGTGCTACAAGGACAAGAACTGTGACGCAATCTGCTGCGGGCGGGGCCACAACACGCAGAGCCGGGAGGTGACGCGCCCTTGCCAGTGCCAAGTGCGCTGGTGCTGCTATGTGGAATGCAAGCAGTGCACGCAGAGGGAGGAAGTGTACACCTGTAAGGGCTGAACGCCATCACAGGAGTGGTGACACTGATAAGCACTTTGAGGGATTTTCTTTCTTTTTTTTTTTTTTTTTTTTTTTTTTTAATTCAAAGACATCATTTTTCTCAGACAACTGGGTGAACATCTCAAGCCTTGACCAGACCCTTCTTACTCAACAAGCCGTTTCACGTGCAAGCATAGTCAAGAGACTGACGAAAGAAGAAGGACGACGCATGTGTGTTTGTATCCGCTGACGGGGATGCATCAACGACTTCCAACAAAAACACAGACAGGGTGTAAGAATTTTACTCTACACGCACATATCTACGCGCGCACACATCGTGTGTTTGCATATGCATGTAAATAACTTTATAAAAGGGTTTATGTATATAATATATATATATATATATATATATATAGTTCAGCCATTATACAAGCCACTAATCTAATTTTATGGTAAAACAAACCACTAACTGCACAGACGCTTTGCTGTTTGTGCGAACGTTCCCGCCTTTTGGAAACTTTAAGTATGAATGTTTCCTTCATGTGGCGGGGAAAACAAATCCAAACTTTTTTTTTTTTTAATAATGTAAAAGATCAATTGCAGCTGTAAGTTGCAATGTCATCATAACTGGACACTTTCTTCGAAACACCTGCGCGACACGAAAGACCCAATTAAGGAGCTGTATCCACAATTGTGGCTTTCCAAAGATAATGACTCTCACAATGATTACCATCGTGGCGGTTGTGTCATGCTTCAATCATTGGGCTGAATTGGAGCATCTCATCCCTTCCTATCAAAGTGAGAAAAGGCCCAATTATCAGACGTTTCCTGAGTGATGACCCTTACGTGCGGTTTGTATGAAGGGTCATTTTTCCTCCCCTTATCTGCAGGCAAAGGACGTCTCAATAAGATTATTGATTATGATTATGAACTTGTTGTGTGTTGATGTATACACACAGAACACCCCGCTTTACCTTATTTCACTACACGATATTAGAAACGGGAGTGTGACGCAGTGCCGTTCTACAGCACCAACTGCAGCAATAAATAATGTTAAATAAATACACAGTGGGAATTGTGGTTGGGCGAAATGTTTTGGACAATTCTACGTGGGAACAGTTTGGGGGTAACATTCTCTTTTCTGTTCCCTGGGTGGGATCGGCACAGGTGTACCCAATATCGTGACTGACGGGCAGATGCAAATGAGGAATACAAATACAGTACGTCCCTCTGCCTTCATCCGAACAATGTTCAGGGAATAAGTCAGACCACTACGATTGTTTGGGGCAACCATCCATCATGACGACAGTGGCCTTACTAGATAACTGGACGGACGTAGCCAGCATATTAATATCGTTGAGCCATCTTCCTCATTCGCATAATCAACCCAGTCATCTGATCCCCTGATTGTAGACCATGACGATAAAGACTTCTGTATCGTCTGCAATTAGGTTCTGGTAATCATTGATCAAATATACAGTATATATTGTAGGAACTTGTGTATACCTTGTTTGTGACTACTGAGTGAGGGGGGGACCCAGCTTTGTATGATAGCGCTCATTCCCACACTGAAGCCTCAAAAGCCCTTTAAGGTATATATAAATATATTTTAAATCTATATTTATGGATGCAGCATATATATATATATATATATATATATATATATATATATATATATATATATATAAAATGTAAATAGGTTTCTTTTCCTGTGGTTAAAAGGCACATGTTCAACTATTGCAAGAAACGAGCTATAGTGGTACCCTGCAGTTTTCTACAACAAAAACGGGAGGCAATGTTTGAAGTCATATAAAGATTATTAACGGTCGTACAGTTAACAGGTCAAATACCAAAATGTTAGAAACATTAAAACTCTCAGTAAACACTCCCGACTCAAATGAGAGCACACAATGTAGCATTCTACTGGATATATTTACTTGCTCCTTGTCAAATGTCACATGGGCAAAGTTTAAAACATAAACATACACATGAATAACACTCCACTTTTCGATCACACATGACAAGCAGCTAGCATGAGAAGTAAACATAGCAATCCACATCTTTACTCACTGCTCCTTGTCCAATGTCAAGTCAAGTCAAGTACAACTTTATTGTCAAATGTAAAATGTAAAATGTTTAAAATGTAACCCTTAGTATCCCACCGTTTGTTTACGAGTGACAAGCACGTGGCAGCCCGCCATGATGGCTAGCATGAGAAGCTAATGAAGCAGTCTACAACCATACTTGTCCGACAGCGCAAATAGACGGATTCAAATGCACCTCACCACTCACATGAGATCTGAATCTAAGGCTACATTCACACTGCAGCGGAACGTCGATTTATTTAAGTTTTTTGCCTACATGTGACACATATCTGATTTCAGTGTGAGCAGTACAATTCACATTTTTTCAAATCCGACTTGGGACTCTTTAAATTATGGATATAAATCGAATATGTATGCGATGCGCAGTATGAACGCTCATCCACACACATCCGGCCTAGACATCAACAGCACAATATGTTCTCTGCACTGGCGGTTTTGATCGAGGGCTTGGGAGACTACTGACACTGTGCGTAGATCTGCAAAGTTGATTTGAGTAACAGTTGTTTAATCCCACTTGAAAAATGCAAACAAGCATAAAGCGAATATTTGTGGTGATAGTTGTAATTCAGCCACGCAGACGCTACGTGCAGCATTGACAAGATGTCATCTTCAGTAGACGTCTCCATTCAATGAGGAGATCGATGAGCGTTGACTCATATCCCCAAAGTATTTCCACCTCTTCCCGCCTTGTTACTCTAGCGATATGAGATGATAAAATGAACCTGTACATGCGGGACCAATTTTTTTGGAAGTTGGAACCAAGTTAAAATCAGGAAGGGCAGAAACTGATGAACTCAAGTTCAAGATACAGAATAATTCAAATCAATGTCCCTTCTTTGGGTGAAGTGGATCAATACCTGCAAAAAGTTCTGCCTCGGGACGAACAACAGGAAGTAGAAACCTAACAAAATAAAATTGGTAACTAACCACATGGCACTGAAATACTTTTTTTTTCCATACAAAATCGAAACCAAAGTTGTTTGCTGCGGCTGAGAAAGGTTGCAGCTGTCAGTCCTGCACAGTAGACAAAAACATCATGTCAAAAATACCAACCAAATGTAATCATAGCTAACCCAGAGTGCTAACCCAGACAAAAAAAAAAAAAAGCACAGCACAAACATGCTCTAATGCTCGACACAAGTCATAAAAAGTTGGCTGACAGAGACTGAGTCCTCGTTTGGATACAAAAACCACGAGTAGAAAACCGAACAAACTTAAATTGGTAGCTAATCACATAACGCTTCGACACTTGGATAACATTAAATCAAAACTTAAGTTCTTTGTTCATTAAAAAAAATGGCCCATGCCAGTTTGAGAGTTCGAGCTCCTAAAATAATAACAGGAAGTCGAAACTTACCGAAATATAATGGTAACATACTGTACCTAGAGGTCAGCTAGCTCAGAAAAAAACAAAACAAAAAATACATCCAGGGGGTAACTACTGTAATATGGATTCAAATGCATGTCACCCGTCACACAAGAGCCAAATCAAAGTTCTGTTTTCACAAAAAGTTGGACAATACAAGCTGTAGTACTAGCTTGGAAACAAAAACAGAAAGTAGAAACCTACCAAAATGACATTGGTATTTAGCCTAAGTACATGAGGCTTAGACATTTTGGACGCACAAACTCTAAAGTCCTTTGTTTACCCCCAAATTGGTGAGTACCGCTGGAGAGTCCTAGCTCACAACAAAAAATGTGAAGTGCAAACCGAAACTTATAAATCCTTTGATGCTGGATGAAATGAGGTCTCGTGAGCTGCTTGACGTTGATTGTGTGAACTTCATATGTTTCGTCCAAATGTCGGTTTGGGGCATTGGAGCTACAGGGTACCACTGTATTGATTCTAATCATAGATACTGCACCGTGACGCCGTGGTCGAGAATTTGAAGCATTTCGATAAGCAAATAAAAGACACGGAGAAGTTTGCACGCTACATGCAAACCATAATAACCATGCAGCGCAAATGCCTCCTTGCCACAGCACACTTTTGGTATGTGCTCAGCCCCCCTCCACCGAGAAAACACCAACTTCTCTTGGCAGGTGAACCCGTTGAAGACAAACAGGAATACCAAATGCCCACTGAGTGCATTCTTTTGGCTTTGCTTATAGATTGCATATAAGGAGAATAATGCAGCAAGATGACCATCATTCTCAAAATCCAAAACTCTGCACTGTTTAGTGAGCAAACATGTAAAAAAAAAAAAAAAAAATCTATTTTGTAAAAATAAATAAATAAATTATTTTTTAAATATATATGAGCATGTGTTTAGTGTAAATATGACTAAACTGATTTTGTATCCTGTATTTTGTATTTTTTTTTTGGTTGGTTTTCAAAAAGCATGTATTCATATGCAAACTTCTGTTTTTCAAAGCACTAACAAAATCCTAACAAATGTGTATTCATGTGCACCACCGCCGCATTATCTCCATTGGATTCGATCTGTTTGTATAATCTACTATTTTCGTGAAAAGCCTTTATATAAAATGTTGTCACTTTTACAAGTACTTTATATTTTTTTGTTAGGGTTTGTGCAGTGCGTCTACAAACACACACCCCGATACCAGCACACCAACAAAGTCATGTCTTATAGGAACCCTAAATTATTGTCCTCTACCTCATGTGTATAGCTCGTAGACGTAAGCAGATCACAAATGACTGGTAAGAATGTATTTAAGTTATTTAACATCTTTGTATAACAAAGGCGAGACAAGAAATCTGAAATAATAAAAAATGAAATTTTAAATTATATCTGCATTTTCCTGGTGAGTCATTTGTCTTTGAGTAACATGCGAAATGACAAAGGTCAACAGAAGTATTTACAGTTGTCAGTATTGTACTAGTAGGGTTAAGGCAGAGTGGTCATACCCATATACACACACACACACACACACACACACACACACACATCCATTAATGGCGGTCCGATTATTCGGCCGATTTCCATTGAGATGTATGCATTCAGCATCTGTCAATCAATGCCACTGAAGGCCCAGGTATCGAATGCCAAGAATTACTATGATTGCAATACGCCAAAAATTGGGACTAAACGTTACCTGTAAGATGACAGACGCAATTGTTGTGGCTATTTGCTCCATGTACAGCACTTTGTATACAGCGATGGCTGTTTTAAAGTGCTCTATAAGTACAGTTGAGTTGAGTTGAGTTGAATTTTCATGTAAACTCATCATGGCAGCCCACCTCCTATGATTTTTCGACCTTGGCGTCAAACAAAGTCAGCGTGAAATCAAACGCATGACTCAGCTTTGGCTTTTTACGCAGCGCACAGACATACATTATATTACTATGCCGGCTGGGGAATTACCCCCGCGCCGGAGCGCTATTATTAATTCAACATTCCCCTCCTCAGCAGGCGAAGGGGAGATTTCGGGGAGTTTTCTCTCTCAACAAAACGTGGCTTATAGGAATTGAAATGTTGAGCTTTATCCAAAGCAAGACATAATTATTGGATATCTGTGCTAATACGGGAATAGCAAATCCCCATGACACGTGTACCCTAAATTAGCAGCTTCGGGAGCGTCTTCGTCGGACTCCCCCTTGCTCGTTTCCTGCCCCCTCTCTGGTACCAGGCTGCTAATACGCGCTGGAACTTTGCGCTGTAATCTAACAAAGTTTTGACAGCTGTTACCATGGAGGAAGTGGGCGCAACTGAAACACACACACACACACACACACACACACACACACACACACACACACACACACAAAGAAAAATGAAGGATTCCTGAATTTCTTTCGAACTTGTGTGATAGTTAAGAAGGAAAAAAAAATGTGGGCTAATGTTGTTATTTCAGCACAAGATATATGTGTCCCGTTTTGCTCCGCTGCACTTTGATTGCGGTCTTGTTGCTGCGATGCTCAATCATGACTGTCTGCCTGTAGCTTTAAATACTAAAGATACAGTTGCGGACAGACTAGTTATGGTATTTTGACAAATAACTTACTTGAGTACAGCGGAGTTTTACAAAGTAAGGTAATAATAATCATAATAATACATTTTATTTATAAGCACTTTACAATCAAGAACAAAAACAATAAAGCCACAGACTAAAAATTGCGGGTGAGCAGCGGCATCCAGACGCAGCAGGCATTGTTGGGTGTTTATTTAGCTCATATTTGTTAGCATTGTCATTAGTTAGTCAGCGTCCCAAAATGTTAGCCCAGCTCACTATTAAGCAAAACCACATTATTTTTACTGTTAACTTAAATAGATGTGAATACTGGTCACACCACGATCAGAGCAAATGTCTATTTAGTAATAGCTGGTCTTTTGTCATAATTTGTTTAGTATTTTAACAAAGTAACAATCCTTAATTGCCTTATTTAGTTTTGGAAATACTCGAGTGAACATTACTATCCTAATTTCGAGGGAAAATTACTGTGACAAATATGTCACCCGAAAGATAAGTTTTCACTTAATAATTAGCAATTAACCATCCATCCATTTTCTGATGTGCTTTATCCTCACAAGGGTCACGGGGGGTGCTGGAGCCTATCCCAGCTGTCTTCGAGCAGTAGGCGGGGGACACTCTGAACCGGTTCCCAGCCAATCGCAGGGCACACAGAGATGAACAACCATCCGTGCTCACACTCACACCTAGGGACAATTTAGAGTCTTCAATCAGCCTGTCACGCATGTTTTTGGAATGTGGGAGGAAACCGGAGTACCCGGAGAAAACCCCCGCAGGCCCCGGGAGAACATGCAAACTCTACACAATAATGAGCAATTAGTGATGTTCAAAACAATATTGTGCATTTATCTATCCATATCCCTCCTTCCATCCATCCATCCATCCATCCATCCATCCATCCATCCATCCATCCATACGTCCGTCCATCCATCCATCCATCCATACGTCCATCCGTCCATCCATCCATCCATCAACTGTACCGCTTATCTTCGCTATGTTTGCAGGTGTGTGGCGAAAGGTGGGGTACACCCTTTCAAGCAGAGGTGCCCAAACTTTTTGGACCGAAGATCTACTTTTCGATCAACCAACCTCTCGCGATCGACCCTTTACCGCGCACGCGCATATATGCACGCACGTACATACGCATGCCACGATGAGCAACAGCCATAACGGCCCCTAAAATGTACAGTAGACAGTTTATGAGCTTGTTAAAAGAAAATCACTGCCTACCTTAGTGGGAGACCTGACGCGGAGGCATGTGACGCACTTTTGCAACCTGTTAACTATCGTAACTCACGCGTACCGTTTTAAAATGGGCCTCCGGATTGACATTCTTTGCTGGCAGTGATCAGATGCCCTGTAGGAATAATAAGGTGGCCCAAGGAAGAGATTCAGACCACGGATGTTAAGACCCAAAAGCTCCAAACCATGCATGGAGGGTTCGATTCCAAATCCAGCACCTTGAGACTGTACGCAAGCCGAAAGGAAGGAGGCCGGGGACTAGTGAGTGTGAGAGCCACTGTCCAGGATGAAACATCCAAGTAAAGGTGACAGTCGTGCCTGTGGTGGTCGGAGCACTCGGGGCAGTGACCCCCAAACTAGGTGAGTGGTTGCAACAGATCCCGGGAACAACATCGGACATCTCAGTCCAGAAAAGCGCAGTGCTGGGAACAGCAAGGATACTGTGCAGAACCTTCAAGCTTCCTGGCCTCTGGTAGAGGACCCGAGATGAATGTGGGGACGGACACCACCCGAGGGGTGAGACGAGGATTTTTTTTTTAATTTATATAGCGAGAGAAAGAGAGAGAAAAAGAGAGAGAGAGAGAGAGAGAGAGAGAGAGAGAATCATATTTACTCATATCTGGGCCAATATTGAACAAATGTTGCAAGCACATAGCAAATTGAAGAAAAACATGTCTACTTTAGGGGTGGGAATCATAGAGTAACTTGTAATTGTTTTCAGGCATTATAATTGAAGTTTACATTACCATTATTTTGACTGTTAAAAACAATCGCCATCATGTGAAAGTTTTGACAGTTATGACTTTGGGCTTCAGAATTGCAATCCAAGCATGAGCTAAACTCTCAAGGAGGGTCAAGCATATGTGCTGACCATTATGAAAACACTTTAGCTCATGCTCTACGTCTTTTGGAACTCATTTGTCTTTTCTTTTCAGAACGCAGGGAAACAACGTGAAAAAAGTTCCCCCTCACTTCCTTACCTCCTTCCTGTGTCCCGCTTTCAAGCTTTCAAGCAAGTTTACAGCTAATTTTGATTGACGTCAGGCTCCTGCCAGAACTCCAATGCCCCCAGCCAAAAAAACGAACAAACAAACAAAAATAAAACCCTTGAAACAGTCATAATAGCCATAGAATATAAAATGGGACTTCATCAGAATATAGTGTCCTATTGCTCAGTAGAATCTCAAAATAAAACATTGATAACGCATTGACAAATTAATTTTACCAATAGAATGCTTGTATTAGTAGCATGTAGCGCAATACTGAATGTAGCCTAATGATTAATTACTAGCACAAAAATAGTTGTTTGTAGTCATTTCATTTTACATGTGCTCATTTAAGTTGTATTTAAGAGTTACTATTTATGACCATTGTTTCAATATGAGTGGGAATTACATTATTTTCCAGAGGCAGGCAATTTACAAAATTTCTCCTGTTCGCCTGAGCACCTGTCCGTCATCATCAGTCCATCATTATTTCAAGCCAATTCAAACTGTAATCATCAGTTAGTCAGTCCGCGAGGTTATTTTAACGGTGGTTCTGTCATCAGCAAATTTCACTGGTTCACCAGTCAGTTGTCAGTTGGAAAAAAAAAACCATTGAAGTAAAAAAAATCAAATTTAATTTAAATGCTTAATGGAGTGTGGGGTACATTTATGTCAGTTATCAGCAAAAAACGGCGTCCATCAGTGACGCACTGAGAGGTCCGTCGGTACTTGACCGAGTTCGTGTCAACTACACAAACGGACGAAAACCCACTCCTGTATGTGCTTAGTCCATCATTTTCTTACATTTCCCATCATCCGTCAGCCAAGCGGACATCCGTCAGTACTGACGGAAAGACTACCTCTATTATTTTCTATGGTTCCAAACAAAAAAGCTCTGCAATTACAACAGCGTAGAATTCATCCAACATCATGTTCAACATTGGAGCTTCCATTGCAAATATCAGGTAGTTAAAACCGAGCTTGAAAATGGCCAGAGAAGGCCAAGCTTTTCCTGCTCCTGGTCAATTGTATATATGGCATCTCTTCAGAGACTCAGTAATTTTACTTTTTTTGTTTTATTTTACAGTGGTTGGCAGCAAAGTGCATAGACAGTCAGCACATCTGTCTCGCAGTGCAGAAGTCCGGGGTTCGTATCCGGCTCCGGCCTTCCTGTGTGGAGTTTGCATGTTCTCCCCGTGCCGGCGTGGGTTTTCTCCGGG